CAACGACTATTCCAGGCGAGCTTCCAGACGAGCCACTACATGATGTTCCAGAACGCATTGATCACCCACGGAGGATTTCTAGCAAACGAGAGCGACCCGTTCATTGCAGAAAGCCTTTTTTCCACCACTTCTTTGCGAAAACAAACATCAACCCGGATGAAGAGAAGATCATATCAGAGCTGCGCTCGTCCAATTTGAATGGACTACTGCACCAGTTGGCGACAGCATTGCTAGATTTCGCACAAGATGTAGTGACAGAGGAACTTGAGCTGATAGCACGGCATGCTGTCAAGAATGATGGAGGTGGTCATGTTGCAGATTCAGTTGAATTCGGCAAGCAACCGTGGTTTGTGAGTGTGAAGCAAGACCTTGCTTCTGGTAATGCTACAAGTTCAGATGAGTCAAGTTGTGCTGAGGAAACTCATGGCGTATTTGTCACTGCAGACATGTTCCGCACATTTTTAGAGGAAGAGCGTCATCGTCCTCTTGTTGCAGATCTACCGAAGCATATTATAGATCTGCGACATCTTATACTTCAGATTGGCCGGCATGTGTATGAAACATATGGCATTGGCATCGTCATCGACCAGTGTGTTGAAGAAGTTTGCGAGTACACGCTGCTGTACTACCTTTCAGAAGATTGGTCTGGCTTTCACAGCTCTAGGCATGAAATCTGAGGCTCGCAGAGATGCAGCTGGGCGGATTGTGACTAGAAAGTCCGCGAGAATTGGAGAGCACAATTGTGTCAAACTCCTTTCCGAAACCGAGAAGGAGGTGCATCGAGAGAAGATGGTTCTCGACAATTAAGTCACGTAGCGCTGGCAACTTGCCTGAGGTTGTTGCCAGAGTAGCAAGCGAACTCCAAGGGGAAGCATGGGAGCATGGAAAAGGTGATGTCGCGCTTGAGTCTGCTGCGCATGCTTGTTTTTTTACTTTTTTTGTGTCCTAAACCTTTAGAACCCTAAATTAAAAAATCAAAGCATGTAGTATTTATGAAAAATAGTTGAGCCTTAAAGATATAGGTAAATCCCATACGAGATAGATCCGAAATCCCCAAAATAATAAATATAATACACCGCGACACAAAAATATCAAAAATCCCAAGCTCATCCTATGGACTTTTCAATTGTCCCAAAGCCCGAAGATCCGAAGCACTCGAATAGTGAAAGCCTATATCCTACTATTACAACTTATCAACCCCGAAAATGAAAATAGCAGACGCCCTAAACCCTTGACCTTAAGACCCCCACTCACTCACTCACTCACTCACTCTCAGTGTTAAATGGCATTGGCTCAAGACTGGACTAAGGCTGGATGTCACAAAGGAATGTTTGCATTTGTGTGACTGGGGAAAGTGATTGATCACGTCCGAGAGCCCTTCGCTCAGCCGGGACAGTGCGACGTTGAGGTCGGTGACCGGCAGGCGCTTGGTGCGCTCGTAGGGCATGCCGCGGTTCCGGCCGTTTCGCCGGATGCCGCGAATGATGACGGGCACGTGCACCACCCAGTCGACCCACTTGTCCTTGAAGAAGCTCTTCCCGAGCTTGGTCAAGTGGTAGTTCCCGTTGGGTTGGAGGCTGCGGAGCAGCTTTTTAGCGCCCCCCCGGAGCATGATGTAGTCGTTGGGCCCCTCGCGGATGAGGGGTTGGTTGCGGTCGTGCTGCCGGCTGGGGGGCGGCCGGCCGATCAGTTGGTAGTAGTACTGGCCGGCCCTCGTCAGCTCGCCGTTGGGGCGGCTGAGCATCGCGTAGCGGAGGTGGTGGTGTCTCAAAGGAAGGGTTTCTGAGCCTGCCGCCGAGGTCCTCGCCCTGACCCCGGCCTCGGCTGCAATTCTGATCGCTTCTCGTTGCTGAGCCCAGCTCATGACTTTTGAACAACCCGCCCGGAAAAAAGGTCGTCGCCCGAGCGGGCCCCCTTCGCCGGACAAGTCTTGTTGTACAGTTGCTGGCTCAAGTCTTCGTGTACAGCTTCGGCTCAAGCCTCCCCGTTGTACAGCGGCTTGTACAGTTTTTGGCTCAACTCTTGTGTACAGGTTCGGTTCAAGCCCTCCCTACACCCTATACTCCCTAACCCCTAAACCTTGTCCGGCAATTTTTTTCATATTGCACGAGTTTTCTTTCATGTTTCACTGCTCTGGAGCGAGCAGGCTTAGTCACTGCTCTGTGGCGAGCAGGCCCTACCTATCCTTAACCCTTATAAGCCTTAAACCCTGATTTTTGCATGCTTGTTTTTCGCATGTTTTTGCAGAGTTTTTGGTGATTTTTGTTAGACCCGCGCGCGCTTCCTCGAAGCGTGATCAAAGCAGGCAGCAACATGACACTTCTAAGGAAGACAAGAGACATTCGCTACCCCAAAGCAGCACAGCTACCGCAAGCACACAAAGCCCTGACACCGGGGATGTAGTGACGCCGGGGCCACGGATGCTTCACGGCTGGTTCGGGTTGCAGGTGGGGGTTCCGAGGCAGTGAGGTCTGGAAGCGTGCTGCAAGGCTTCAGGGTTTTGCTCGGGTTCAGGCGGGGTTAAGGTGCAGGTAGTGAGTGCCTTGCGCCGTCCCCCCGCCCTACCCTCCCCTGTAACCTAGAGTGGTGCGCGCTTCCCCCTCCCTTCCCTTCCCGGAATCCCTAAACCCTCTCTATCGTGGCTGAGGTTCCTCTTCGACGCCTTCGCTGCGAGATGGGCACCGCAGAGGTTTCGGGGTTGACTGCGTAAGGTTGGCAGGCAAAGGGGTTCCGAGGCTGCTAGGTTTTAGGGGTCAGGAGTGTCTTGCGCTGCTGAGCCCGACCCCTCCTGTAACTCTAAAGTGCTCCTGCGTCCCCACCCTTTCCCGGCACCCCCGGGCCCTTCCCTTGCGGCCAGGCGCTCGTTGTGACCTTCCTCGACATCTTCGATCATCCTCGCCAGGCGCTCTGAGTGCAGACAGAGCGCGTTTTTGGGCGACTTTTGGGTTCCGGTGGCTTGGATGAGGGGAGGGGCGTGACTTTTTTGGGAGCGGGAATCGAGGCGTGACTGTTGGGGGGGCCTGGGCCGGGAATTGAGGCGTGACTTCTGGGTTTTGGGACAGGAGGGGAGGAGCGTGACTTGTGACTTCTGGGGGGCCTGGGCCGGAGAAGGGGCCGTGACTTGTGACTTTTGGGGGGCCTGGGCAGGGAATTGAGGCGTGACTTTTGGGGGGTTTGGCCGGAGGGGAGGGGCGTGACTTGTGACTTTTGGGGGCCTGGGCCGGGAGAAGGGGCCGTGACTTGTGACTTCTGGGGGGCCTGGGCCGGGAATTGAGGCGTGACTTCTGGGTTTTGGGCCGGAGGGGAGGGGCGTGACTTGTGACTTTTGGGGGGCCTGGGCCGGGAGAAGGGGCCGTTGTGACTTCTGGGGGCCCGGGCCGGGAATTGAGGCGTGACTTCTGGGTTTTGGGCCGGAGGGCGGAGGGGAGGGGGGCGTGACTTGTGACTTTTGGGGGGCCTGGGCCGGGAATTGAGGCGTGACTTTTGGGGGGTTTGGGCCGGAGGGGAGGGGCGTGACTTGTGACTTTTGGGGGGTTTGGGTCGGGAGAAAGGGCCGTGACTTGTGACTTTTAGGGGGCCTGGGCCGGGAATTGAGGCGTGACTTTTGGGGGGCTTGGGCCGAAAAAGAGGGCCGTGACTTGTGACTTTTGGGGGGTTTGGGAGGGGAGAAAGGGCCGTGACTTGTGACTTTTAGGGGGCCTGGGCCGGGAATTGAGGCGTGACTTTTGGGGGGTTTGGGCCGAAAAAGAGGGCCGTGACTTGTGACTTTTGGGGGGTTTGGGAGGGGAGAAAGGGCCGTGACTTGTGACTTTTGGGGGGCGTGGGCCGGGAATTGAGGCGTGACTTTTGGGGGGTTTGGGCCGAAAAAGAGGGCCGTGACTTGTGACTTTTGGGGGGTTTGGGAGGGGAGAAAGGGCCGTGACTTGTGACTTTTGGGGGGCCTGGGCCGGGAGAAAGGGCCGTGACTTGTGACTTTTGGGGGGCCTGGGCCGGGAATTGAGGCGTGACTTTTGGGGGGTTTGGGCCGGAGGGGAGGGGCGTGACTTGTGACTTTTGGGGGGCCTGGGCCGGGAGAAGGGGCCGTGACTTGTGACTTCTGAAAAATCGGCGCCGGAGGGGAGGGGTGTGACTTTTGGGGCCTGGGCTGGGAGAAACGGCCGCACCGAAACGTCACGCTCTTCTTCCCTGACCCCGACACCCCACACGCCCTTCTTTGCCGAGCCCGACACCCAGAAGTCACAAGTCACGCCCCGCTTTCCCGAGCCCAAAAGTCACAATTCACGCCCCGCTTTCTCGAGGCCGGCGCCCAAGAGTCACGCCCTTCTTTGCCGCGCCGAGGCCAAGAAGTCACAAGTCACGCCCTTCTTTGCCGAGCCCGACACCCATAAGTCACAAGTCACACCCCGCTTTCCCGAGGCCGACGCCCAAAAGTCACAAGTCACGCACCGCTTTCTCGAAGCCGACGCCCAAAAGTCACGCCCTTCTTTGCCGCGCCGAGGCCAAGAAGTCACAAGTCACGCCCTTCTTTGCCGAGCCCGGCACCCAGAAGTCACAAGTCACGCCCCGCTTTCCCGAGGCCAAAACCCAGAAGTCACGCCCTATTCGTGTCGTAGCGCCCCCCGAGGCCCAGAAGTCACCGGCCAGACTGCGTCATCTTCCAGGCCGTTTGGGGGAAACCCAGGACAAGGGCGCAGGAGGGCAGGTGAAACCCAGGAGGGCGGGGGCGCAGGAGGGCATGTGAAACCCAGGATGGTTAGGGTTTCACCTGGGGCTTTTGTCGGGTTGAGGATTTCGGGGTCACGGGGACGGGGGTTCAAGGGTCACGGCAAACTCAGGGAAACCCACAACCGCCCGGAAGCTGAAGCTCTAAACCCCAAGCCCAACAGCAAGCTGGAGGGATGAACCAGCAGTCAAGCTGAAACAGGTAGAGCTCGACCATTCGTTCATTCAGATTGCAGTGCTTTGGCTCGAGCAAGAGGACAGCTAGGACCATTGCCGCCATGAGCAGGCCTCCAGCAACATCACGCAAGGTCACGCGTGTGCTGGTGCTACTGGCGCTGTTCTTGGTGTGTCGGCCAGACCCTAAGACCGGCGCTTTGAACAGTGTTAGATGTGTTCCCGAGCAGCTTCAGGCGAACAGCGCAGACGGCACTGGCTTTGCTTGGAGTGGGGGCCGTGCCGTTTTGCAGGTGGGATGTGATGTAAGGCATGGAGTGCCGAGATCCGCGAGCCAGAGCGAGGTCGGTTCCTCCGGGAGCTTGGGCACCCAACTCGCTCGTTGCAAGCAGGGCTAAGGCGGGAAGCCGAGAGCCAAAGGGAAGTCTGTGTTATGTCCTGCAGACCTGCTCACCGTGGTGAGGCCGAAAGCATTGAAGACGACAAGGCAAAACGGGTTTGTCGGGGCGTGGTGTTCCTTGTGCTGTTCTGATGGCGTTACGTTCGCTCCTGCCTGTTTCTGACCGTGTGGTTTGTCCTTTCGCTGTGTGTGTGTGTGTGTGGGTGTGTGTGTGTGTGTGTGTGTGCGTGCGTGTGCGTGTGTGTTCGTCGAAAGCTACTCGGCGGGAGCATCAGACTAATTTCGAGGAGCTTGAGGGATTGATTGCGATGGTCTCATGCTTGCATGAAACGGTCCTGCCGGCAGCACATGTAAGTCTTTTCGGAATCAGTCCATGTTGGGAGGCCCCCTCAGAAAAGGATGAGGTGGAAGAGGCGACGACCGAGGCACTTCCAGGCTTGATGGTAAGGGCTTCGCAGTTCTGTGTGTCTCCTGCAGGCCAAAGCCATCTTCGATCAGGCGGGCTCTGCGAAGGCTCGCTGACACTAGCAATGTGCCCCTTGCTGCAGGGTTCGCGAACCAAGGCAGTGGATGAGGCGCTTTGCGGTGTCTCTTGCAAAAGTGGTTTTCGTCCTTTCGGTGTGGTGGGGCCAGGGAGCTTCAGACGAATTTCGATGAGCTTGAGGGGTTGCTTATGCAGGCTGCCTCAGCACAGACCGCTGACTCGGTCGAAGATGCCCAGGCTGTGCCTCCGAGGGTATTGTTGCTTGCTTGCCTTTCTTGTTGTGGGCTGCGTCTGAGCGGGCTCTTGGAAGTTCGCAATTGCAGATTGTGGCCTTTGCCTGCTGGTGCAGGACGAACAGCTGCAGGAGAACAAGGAGGCCCGGCCAAATCCCGAAAACAGACGTGTTCGGCAAACACGGCGGCAAAAGCACGGGAAATCACCCCTGCACTTAGGATTTGGCCGCAGCCCAACGAGCACGAGACAGGGCAGAAAACGCGGTTGTCAGGGCCGACAAAGCGGTGACAGAACTTGACGATGTGGTTGCGGAGCTGCGGAGGCGGTGGCTACAAGAATTTCAAGATGAGGTCAAGCAGGAGCTCAAGCACGACCTACAGGATGCCAAGCAGGAGCTCAAGGACGCCAAGCAGGACCTCAACGACGCCAAGCAGGAGCTCAACGACGCCAAGCAGGAGTACGAGCAGGCCAAAGCAAGCGCCCAGGCAGGACCAGCGCAGGCCGGGGGGGCTTCTGCGCTTCTGCGTTGCAGTTATTGCCGTTGGTTTGCAGCACTCCCGCATGGCCACCGTTTGCTTTTTGGGGCTCTTCTCTTAGCAAAGATCTCGTCGTCAAGCTTCAGTGTTGGCTTGCAGCCCTTCGGGAAGCGGGAGGGGCTCTTGGCTGCTTCAGGTTCAGGCAAATCTGGTTGCTCTTCGTGTTTTGCCGATGCTTCAGAACGGGGTGTCAGTCCTAGGCTCGAGGTGGGGGGGTCAGCCTGTTTTGCGCTCGCTTTGCGCTCTCCAGGTTGCGGTTGTTTTTGTTTGAGGCTCGACCTTCAGGTTACTGTGTCCGTGAGGCGGAGTTAAGGGAGTCAACCCTGGATTCTTAGTGCTTGCCTTTAGCATACGGACCTTGAAGAGCAGTGGGGTTCCGGCAAGACGAGCCGGCCGGGGGCTTCTGCGTGGGCATGTTGCCTTTGGTTTGTAGCACTCCTGCATGTCGTCGTGCGTTTTCGTGCGGTCCATCGTTGTTGCGGTTTGGGGTGCGGCTTTCCTCTCAAGATCTCCTTGTGGTTAAGCTGTCTCCATTGTGTTGGCTTCCAGCAGTTCCGGGGGAGCGGAGGGGCTTTCTGAGCAGAGGGCTCTTGGCTGCTTCAGGTTCATGCAAAACTAGTTGCTCCTCGTGTTTTGCCGATGCTTCAGAACGGGGTGTCAGTCCTAGGCTCGAGGTGGAGGGGTCAGCCTGTTTAGCGCTCGCTTTGCGCTCTCCAGGTTGCGGTTGCTTTTGTTTGAGGCTCGACTTTCAGGTTACTGTGTCCGTGAGGGGGAGTCAAGGGACCTGGGTTCTTAGTGCTTTTAGCACGCGGACCTTGCCGAGCACTGGGGTCCCGGCAAGACGAGTGCAGGCCGGGGGGCTTCTGCGTGGGCATATTGCCTGGCACTCCTGCATGTCCGCGGCTCTTGGTCGTCGTGCGTTTTCGTGCGGTCCACCGTTGTTGCTTTTTGGGGTGCTGCTTTCCACTTAGCCCCTCGTCGTTAAGGTGTCTGCACTGTGTTGGCTTGCAGCACTTCGGGGAGCGGGAGGGGGCTTTCGGAGCAGAGGGCTCTTTGGCTGCTGTAGGTTCAATCAAACTGGATGCTCTTCTTGTTGTGCCGATGCTTCAGAACGGGGTATCAGTCCGAGGCTCGAGGTGCGGGGGTCAGCCTGTTTTGTGCTTGCTTTGCGCTCTCCAGGTTGCGGTTGTTTTTGTTTGAGGCTCGACTTTCAGGTTAGTCCGTGAGGGGGAGTCAAGGGACTTGGGTTCTTAATGTTTTTGGCACACGGACCTTGGCAGTGGGGTTCCGGCAAGACGAGTGCAGGGGGCTTCTGCGTGGGCATGTTGCCTAGCACTCCTGCATGTCGGGGGCTCTGGGTCGTCGTGGGTTTTCGTGCGGTCCACCGGTGTTGTTTTTTGGCCTCGTCGTTAAGCTGTCTTCATTGTGTTGGCTTGCAGCACTTCGGGGAGTGGGAGGGGCTTTCGGAGAAGAGGGCTCTTGGCTGCTTCAGGTTTCACGCAAATCTGGTTGCACCTCGTGTGTTTTTAGAGTGGAAGGGACCTTTGTGGCTCAGGCAAAGGTGTTACGGCAAAGGTTTCACGCAAATCTGGTTGGAGGGGTGCGAACCCTAAGTTTGTTGTTGTTCTTGATGCCCTCAGCTCACGGTCTTCAAGGACTTTCTTTCATGTTTTTCCTGAGCTGTCAGGTTCTACAGGCAACGCAGCGCCAGGTGAAAAAACTCCCGGGTAGCGAGATTTCCAACTGGGATGACCGCGTCTTGAACTCGCGCATCAACAACAAGGCGAACAGGCCCATCCTTGAGAGGAATGAAACTGTGCAGGAAGTTCTGGCCCAGATCAAGATGACCCAGGATGCGGATTTCAACAAACCCAGAGTCGTTGCTCTTTGGAGCCCAAGAGGCACCGGGAAGACATCGCTCCTTCGACACCTTGCCCAGAGGGAGGAATACGCCGAAAGCCGCAAGTGCGGACGCCTGCTTGTCTTGGATGCTCAAGTCGTAAGAGACTACGTAGATCAGGATCCTGAGAGGCTACTGCGCGCCATCATCGTCTGGCATCTTCTTCAAATCTTTCACGAGCACACTGTGAACGATGTGACATTTCAGGCCACGAGTTTTGCAGATGTGATGGAGCTTGTGAAGGGCAAGGCCAACGATGACCGATTCAACACCAATCTCAGATCGTGGTTTTATCAGTCTGGTCGAACCGTAGGGCAAGTGCTCGAACAGTGGAGGTCCCTGACTGGAACAGCATTGGGGGCTTCAGACACCTGTCCTTTGCTGATCTTCATGGATCAAGCGGAGCTGCTAGCAAAAGAACAGCAGGCGATACGGAGTAGCAAGGGTGGCATAAAGTCTGCCTTCACCAATCTATGCAGCCACCTACCCCAGAGAATGGGAGTCTTTTGTGCTGGCACTTTGAACTTGATGGAAGGAGTTCCGCACACCGAGTACACCCAGCTAATGGTTCATCGGATGCCCGCGCTTGCACCCTTGTCTGGAGAAGCGGCTGCCACGATGATGGTCCAGAGGAGCGGGAAGCAGTACGGGAACGATGTGTTGAAGCAGGTGCATCTTTTCTCTGGTGGAGTGCCTCGTCTTCTGGAGTTTGCTTTCCAGGCACCTGGCGAGCTGTCAACAGAAGTAGTTGCCATGAATGCAATGACCATGTGCTTCAGCGACTCCTACGCATCTGCCGCACCCTTCTTTGACAATTCAGGTGTTGCTCTGTCGCTGGTTCTTTGCTCGGCGGTTCGCTGGAAAGTGTGTGAGCGGGCCAAAGTACCTGGCACGGATATCCCCTGGTCAGAGATCTTCCATGCAGGAGCTGCGTTTCCATCTGGTGACACCGTGCTGGTCCCGAGGCTGTGGTGGTGTCGGGACGTGGCGGTCTCTGAGACGCTCCAACAAAATCTGGAAGATGTCAACATCTCCTTGGAAGATCTTTTGCCAGATGCCATGAAGTTGCTGCAGAAGAGCGGAGGGCCAACCGCAAGAGGTGTGCCATGGGAAAAATGTGTGGCAAATGCACTGGCTGCAAGGTTTCGCCTGCATTGCATGGAAAGAAAATCGAATGCCAACGATACCTGGGTTCCGTTCTTGGAGCTCTACCCCACGCAGGATGAGCATTTGCGTAGGGTTTTGCAGCCTTTTGAGGTATGCTGGTGCGACGGTGTTGATCTTCCGACGAAAGAAGCCACGGTTTTAGACAAGGTTGGGCGAGCCATCAAGTGCAACTCTGCCTGTGCCTCAGCTCACCACGACTTGCTGATCCCAGTGCGCCGAAGAGACACAGGGACCGAGTACATGGCTGCGCAGTGCCGCTACGGCAGCATCAAGGGAGCCAACGAATTGGACAAAACAAGCCAAGCCAAAGCCAGGAAGCCGCAGAGGGGTGAAACCGTTGAGGACATGCCCAATGTGCTGCTCCAAATCTGCAGCGAGGCCAAAGCGGGCTATCAGGAGTTTCAAAGCAGACCTTGGAAAGATCGTCAGGACCAGCACAGATACAGTCTCATGAACTGCAGCGAGATCATTGCACAGCTGGAGTGTTTTCGCCTCTTGCGCTAAAAAGGGCTGAGCGCTCGTGCAGACTCCTGCTGCTCGTTCGGAGACATAGTGCTGAGAGATAGGTGCAAAAACTTGGCCTCGCAGCTCTCACTTGACAGGTCCCTGACACGAGCCGTCGTTGGATCTCTCTTCGTGGCTCAGGCGCCGCTTGAGTTGGTACGCAAAGCCAGCGGTTTGTGCAAGTGCCCAGTTGCTGCGTAGGCCGGTAGATTTGCTCTCCAGCGCTTTCGAATTGCACAAATCATGGTTTGAAGTTCGCGTGACATCATCTTGTTATTTAGAGCTCTCAAGCTCTCGACGTGCAGAGGTTTGCGTACAACTTGCTGCTGGCTTGCATCACCTTTTACTGGACCGTTGGAATCCTGCAATGGTCGCTCGAGTCTGCAGCGCTCATCGTCGGAACAGCAGTCTCATAGGTGTGTTGAGTCTGTAAGCATCGGCGAAATTTCGGCTAGTCTTTTGGAATCTTTCTGGAATCTTTCGAGTCTTTGTGGAGTCATTTTGTCTTTGTGGAGTTTGGCGGAGGGGTTCGGCGGTTTTTTCGAAGTGTTTGTGGAATCCCTCCTGGTACGGTAAATATTTGAGTCTCTGGACTTAGAAACTCCGTTTCTACCGCAGTCTCCTGCAGTTTGCGGCAGTTCAGACGCACTTGACCTCATCCAGCGGAAGTCGAACCTCCAAACTCCGACCCCGCCAGGCCACACCATGGCCCAAAAGATTTTGCATGCACTTTTCGCGCACTTTTGGGCCTTCTAAACGCCAGCTCTAAGCCCTCAGACCCGGGTTTTAGAACGAGTTCCGGCCAAATCGGGAAGGAAGGACTTGCCCCCACAACCAAACAGCCAGAGACTACGCCACAACAGAGGCCAGTTTTGAAACACAGATACAAGAGAGAGTGTAGGGGTGGAAAAGTCCAGCAATTCTGGCTTCGCTTGAGCGGGCCTCCCCTGTAACCAGGCCCCATAGTGAGGAACCCAAACAGACCAGGTTAAAATTTGGAGTGGCAGCTTTTGGCTCAGAGCTGGGGTTGGATTCCAGCAAAAGCAACGCCATGGCAAAAGAAGATCCTGGTGAAGCCCAGGAACCTGAACCAGGGGACGACCAGGCAGAGGACCCTGGTGAAAACCCGCAAAACAATGAGGCTGGTAAGCAACCAGCAGAGGCGGCAAGTAGCTCGTGGGAGGGCCCTGGTGCGGCACGCAGCTCGTGGGAGCAAACTGGTGCCAGACCAGGAACACTCCTGCAAAGGCTCCGCTCTCGGAGTACAAGAAATGGTACAACCGAAATCGGCCGGGAAAGAAGGAGCGCCAGCAAGGCCAAACAACCAGGGAAGTTCCTGCACCCCGTGGTGTCCTCAAAGGCCAAGGCAAAAAAGGAAAGGACAGCAAAGGCAAGGAGAAAGGAAAGGACAAGAAAAGGAAAGCCGGGCAAAGGAAACACAAGCCAGGGCAAAGGCCAGCCTGGCAAGTCGGAAGGCAAAACGCCTCCCCCTCCTCCAGCGCGCAAAAGGCCGGCTGCGGCCATGGAGGCTCCAGCCAACGTTACGGCTCCTGCCGAGGAACAGGAGTACTCGTGCTACAGTACGAAGAGAGAGCCGCAGGCAAGGCCAAAGCTAAGGCAGGACCCACACCGGGGTTCCTGGCAGCGGCCCGGACCGGAGCAGAAGCAAGGAGGAAGGGCCAGGAGAAACGTCAGGCTGGAGGTCCAGCTGGTGAGCCTTCCAGCAGCAGTTCATCCTCAGAAGAAGAAGAAAAGAAAGAGGAAGACCAGGACAACAGTCCTGGTGAAAACCAGGCCGGCTGCCCAAGGGAACGACCCCAATGCCGGCCAAGTTCACCTTCCCACATGTGTTGATAAGGTCACAACCTGCAGCTGCTGGCGGCACAAAAAGGGTGTAACCCAATCAACCTGAAGCTGAGCCCCCAAGACTAAGCCCCTGGACAAAATGCCACAATCAATGTTTCCACCTCCAGTGCAAGTGGAGGCCCCAGAGTGGAGCCAAGTGTCCCGAACCTCCTGATCAATGTTTGTTGTGCCATGACACTGAAATCCTCTAGGGTCAAAAAGGCCATTTCAGGAGAATGCAAGGCAGATTGGCAAGTTGCCCGATTGCGGGGCGCACATCTGGAACAACATCCAAAATCGAGCTGGCATCACTCGCGCACGGTCTCCAAGATCTGAGGCCAGCGGTCCAAGCTCCTCCTGAGAAAAACTCCAACTCCCAGTCTCTTTGCACCCACGGCGGGCGATGCTGCGCTGCATGCATTGCAGATCATGACATATCTAGATCTAATTGTAAGTATCAGCGGCACGTACAGCTGCAACACCTCGATGGTCGAAACGATCAGCTGGCACACACATCTTTCTTGGACATGCTGCGGTGCTGCTCGATTTCTTAGATGCCTTATTGCACTAAATAGTCCCGATGTCCGAAACCACAAAAAAATCAATTGTTTGAAACGTCACACACGAGTACAGGTTTAACAATAAGTTTAAGCCTTAAAACCCCTTAAGGTATCGGGTATAACCACTAGTACGTGTCACCTGAAAGACCTTATGCCATTGCATCGAAGATCTGACTCCACCAACACTGCCCGGACTGCATAAAGCTTCTGTAGTTTGATCTTCAAGAGCTTTACATGGTCAGCAGTGAATTGGCGAGTCATCTCGGCATCGACGACATCGACATTGGTTTTCGTCATAGATCTATAAGCTGCTGACTGCCCCATGCATATAACTCGCAAGGCTTTGGGCCCCAAATCTGTGTGACCGGATCCGGATATTTTCAGCGACTGCTGTCACATATGCATGCAATGCAATTCAGTGCAAAGCTTTAGGCAGGTTCAACAGCGACACTCGAACTTGGAAGCCCTCATCTATCCCGGCGAGAAACCAGCAGAAACAGGCCCCCCGACACCTACTACTCTATAGATTAGAAGCTGCCCCCACCCTGTAATAGTGACCATAAGGATTGTATTATAATATTATTATATTAGGGCCCTATTATATATATATATATATTCCTATTATACCACTATTACAGGGTGGGGGCAGCTTCTAATCTATAGACTATCTCTTAAAAACCATACGTACTGTATTCTATGTTATCCCTGCGGGCAATAAAGCAGCAGCCTCTTCGAGCAGCTGGATCGCTTGCACTCTGGTCTCATGAGACTGCACTCGAGCTCTACGGTGAGGACTGCCAGGGCCGGGGTTCGGTGTCATCCACTCGAATGTCCAAGACGTAATAAATATCTGGACATAAGGCGTAGTTCCATCATACTGCCTTGGTTTGAAAAGCAGATAAATAAATAAATATATATATATATATATACTAGTAGTTAATTATAATATACATAATGTTTAAAAACGAACATATATATACATATATATGTATATGCTATACAACACGTACTCCTAAAGTTTCTGTAAGCTGCATGGTGAATGCTGGCATAGCAGCTTCCACTGGCCTATAACGTCCTCGTCAAGGTAGGTATGCGTGGCTCTCGGACTCCAGCCGAAGAGCACAGCATCCTCTCCGAGATGCTTCATCATCTAGGTTCGGCATGCGATTGTGGCAGGCGAGCACTACGGTTTTTATCTCGAGAAGCTAATATATCCCCACAAGAAAAAAACAATAATATTAATTTACGGCTTGGACACATGGTGTTTTGGTAACAGCTTCCATCGAAAAGTGCCGGTTTTCAGGGCCAGCCTTGCAAGGCCGGACGTCAGTTTCAGAAAAGTGTTGGTAGTTTGAAGAAAGCATTTTGCGGGGCCCGGCTCCATAAGTCGCGGCGAACACTCCTGCTGTTGGTACCATACCACTAAGGTTCGCGTAGCTTGCTCTGCGAGGTTGACCTCGACGTCGGCTGGATTCGAAGCGAGGGCCGCGCGAAGACAGACGGCCAGGAAGGATAGAAAAACTCGACCGTTCAAGGCCTTCAAGTTTAAACTTGGGAATCCAGACACATAGGTCAAAATGCCCGTCGTGAGCATGACGGAGTGGGTCATGTGTTGCGAAGAAGCATACCTCTTGAACCGAGTGGTTGCAATTTGTAGTGCGTCCGCAAGATCTGCATGGTTGCCGAAAAAATTACGACCCAGAAGCAAATCCATGACCGAGCCGCTGTGGCTCTGAAGTACCCCAAGGTTGACCACATGCATGGCGCAAGCCCGTATCTGATACGGCTGGAAGACGCCTTCCAGAAGGTCTGTGGTTAAAGGATTGCGAAGCGGCTGGGCCATGCAATTCCGCAACACATCTTCGGAGCTTCTCCGTTCGTATGTTCTGGTGAGATCGACAGCGAACCTCGACTGATGGTGCAGATATCGATGCGATTCGCGAATCGAGTGTTGCAATGTGTCCAAGCCGTAAATTAAAAGATAAACTATATGTTAGTTGCGGGTGAAGAAACGATTGGGGGCCGAGCTTGTTTGCCACACAGACGTGACAAAGCTTGTTGGACTTGTACGACGCCGTCAGAGCAAACTGCTCATAATGAAATTTCCAATCGCCACGGAACTCCGATATTATTGCGCACCCTCCTGATCATGAAGTTACCCCGGTTTAATCGTATCTTATATATATATATATATTCAATTTAAACTAAATATTATAGTATATATATAACTAAACAAAAAGATTTAAGGTATATATATATATATAGAGAGAGATGTAGTGTACCTAGACAAACACATAAAAAATATGTAGATACGGTATTGTACATCAGAATTAAGCAGCTCCTGAAACAGGCAACCCCGCCCGCTTGGCCATAGTTCCTTTGAGTGCACAGTCATTGAAGCCGACCGTGGGGTTGACACCCCGCACAAGAATCTGCAGGGGTGATCATGTAGATTAATTGAATTCGTTTCTGAATTCTTCGAAAGAGTTTTCAGCATATTAGGTGTTTAATATAATAATATATAAGCCAAGTGACATTGTAACTCCATGCCATCACACGAAGAGCTGGAGCCCAGGTCCGCAGGCCGAATGACACCCATTCTCTGATCGTCATCAGTGGGTAGCGTTTCATCTGACCACCTGGTCGGGTTCGACTAGTACTTGAGATCATCGTATACAGCCCACACTACATCATCCCCAACATCAAAACGTTATGTTGATCAGCTGTAGAATCGTTGTGGAATGTGATGGAGCACGTTCATCGTGAATAATGTAATTTTGTCATTCTGTTTGTTGTACCGCGCGTCGTCCCCCCAGCATCCCAGGGGAACCATGCATTCAGCAGCTCCAACAGGATCTCGGCCCAGCGCTGCAGACAATCGCGACCAGTACTGCTTTATTTCATCACGGTCGACAGTGACACGGTTGGTTTCCTGGGTTGCGGGCTCTATTAAGCTCAGCTTGGGGCTGTCGGGTAAACCTGCTGGCGAGGATAGGCTAGGGCGTAGGGCCCCAGGGTTACGATTCGGAGTCTGGGGTAGAATGTGTTATTATAATACACAAGTCCAGTTATGGCAGGGGGCGGGGGCTAATTATAGCTGAGCATCCACCAAAAACTGATAAAGCTCATGCGGTAGAACAATGGGAAGTTGCATAGTTGTTTCAGTGCGTCTGTCAGTTTCATCCTTGCATGGCACCGTTACCCAATGCAGGTCCTCAGCTGTTTCGGGCACTTAAGAGTTTTCAGGCTTGAGATAAGGGTTTGGGGTTAGGGCTTTGGGGTTTAGTTTCTGGGTTTAGGGTTTATAGGCTCGGGAGTTCAATGGTTTTGGGTCGGGGTTTAAATATTTTGAAGGTTCAGGTTTGGGTTTGGTGAAGGGTTTCGGTGCTTCGAGGTTCGATGATATTTAGGAGTTTAAGAGTTTCGGGTTAGGGCCTAATGCTAGGGCTCAGGATTTACAGGAGTTTCGGGTTTCATGTCTAGGAGTTTAGCGATTCTACATCAATATCCCAGGGTCCACCGGAAGGTTCAGAGCTCTGCCGATATCTCGTTGTACGTTTTGTTTGTGCCTGCCCCAGTTGCCAGCTCGTGCAAATCGATGTGTCAAGTCTGATCCCCGACCTCCGCTCTCCCGTAGCATTGCCTCTGCTGCTTGTTGCAGCCCTGAAGCCGAGGATGCCTTGGATATATTTGGATTTCCCCCCATGTGATTCCAAACCGTTAGCATACTGATTCAATACCACCAAAAAGAAAATGGCTGGGGAGCCCTAAACCGGTACAACCCTAAGGGCAAGTATATAGGGGTATACCTGGGGTGGCACTTTAAATGTAGAAAGCCTGGAAACCTAGCGATCGCCTATTTCGAATGCGAAGAATACAATACACACTTGGGGGCTAAAGGCCAAATGCTACAGCTAGAGGTTGGTTAAATTGAGTTTAGATTAGGCAAGGTTATTGTGTAGAAGGACTCGGAATTTAATTTATTACGGTAGACCAGAACCCAGATTGAACGTATGATGTGGGCAGGGTAATAATTTGTAACAGCAACAACATTTTATCTAAATTATGTTAGCCCTGGAGCCCTATAATATGAGCTATTAGGCCCATTAGGGTTTCTGAGCTGGAGCTTCAAGTACCTTATAGTGATAGTGTTTAGGGTCTAGGGTCTACTAGTTTGGGGGGTTTTATTGCCAGCCAGCAGGCACCGGTTCCAAGGCACCGGAGGAGGTAATCGGCAAAGGCGGTGTCATCCCCTGCGCAGCACGTGTACTTTTTAACCTTTATGCTCATCGATTCCCTACTGCAGTTCAACTCTAGACCTGATCTTTTCGGCCCTCGGAATCTAGCCAATCGCCCGGATCCGCCGGCTGGTACGTCCAGCCCAAGCCCGGTTTGAAACTAAAGATTGCATGCATGCGCTCTGCATGCACGATGAAAGATCAGCTCAGGCACATCCCTGAAGCAGCACCCCTACGTGGGTGCCTGTGCGTGCTGCACATCGCCACTGGTCGTAATAATATGATCCACTCCCCAGCTCCGGGCACTATGGGTTCAAGAGTTTTCAGGTTTATAAGCTAAGCTTTAGGACCTCAGTGTTCAGGCTTTAAGCTTCAGGTTTCGGGCTGAGGCTCCACATTCGATCTGGAAGTGTAACTACACACCGGTGCATTGGGACCATAGTCTACCGGCCAGTGCTAGGATGCATGCAGCCTACCCTGCTACAAGGTTCTAAGTGCCAGACCGAAACTTTTCGGAAAATCACTTCCTCGCACGGCCTTTGGCCTTTGCTTTGGGATTTGACTTAGCTTTTCCGGCTGCCTTCTTCGCTCGCAGATGCATGTGCACATGCTTGGAGGCAGTTTTAAAAGAAGCATTGGCTTGCCCGACAGCCAAAACCAGCGTCTCCAGGTCCTGCCCCTGGGCTCCCGTCGAGATGCCCTCCTGGAAGCAAGAGGGTCTGCGGGTTATGGAAATAAGGGTTGAGATTAAAGTAGTTGTAGGGGCTTAAGGGGTAGGGTTCATATAATATATGAAGGGTCGAATACATATATATATATATATATATATATATAGTGAATTATTATTATATATATGTACATCGAGGATATCTAGCTAAGCGCTTGGGCTGAAGGGCCTGGGGTTTCAAAGTGCCGGTTATGAAGTCCGTGGTTGCATTCTTATAAACATAAACATAGATTATGCTAAGGCTTGAGGGAAGCTTGAGGGCTTCATGGGGTTTTAGTTTCAAGGGGTCTCCAGGGGCTGGGCTTTATGGTCAAGGGCGTATTTTTTTTGCTTAATATCGTGTCCTCCAAGCTTTTGGTGCATTTCTCGATAATGCCATGATGCACCTCCATGCTCTCGCATAGGGCATCCACGAGAGCTTTTTGCCTTGGATCAATATTTTATGACATAGAACTCCAGAGCCCAGTACTAGTATAATCCCCAAACCCCTAGGGCTCAGGATAAAAAAAGAAAGGGATACCGCATCAACAGAAGGGGTTCGGTTAAGGATTACAAGTATCGTAAATATGTATTATATGAAGCAGAGTACACGTCGGTATTGAGGAGCCTCGTCCTGTAGCCACGGATTTCCAGCATGTTGGAGTTGGCATTCTGGAGTGCCTCAGACATTAATTAAGGGTTCAGGGTTCGGGCCTAAGGGGTTACATATATAGATATCATACCCCATAAGCAGCTCGCACCTACCCCGATCACATCTCTTTCTTTATTTTGGGATATACAGGTATCTAGTTTGAACTCGTCTATATATATATATATATAATTTGGGATGTCTATATATAGGGTATATCTAGATATTTAAAATTTTCTATATATGTATTCACCCAATCACCAGTACTAGTTATTAATCATCGATCCTTAAGCTTCACAGCCCTAGATAAAAAAGGAGGCTAGGAACCGTTTTCGCAAGGGCTTCGGTGGTCTTGGCCTTCACCGTTTTGGCAGCCTTGCGCTGACTCTCCCTCGTCTCGCGGTCGCGATCGCCCTCACCCGATCCGGTGCCGCCGGATTCTGCAGCCAACGCCTCTGCCGATGGTCCTTGGGCTTCCCTTTCGTAGCTGAAGGAGATTTCATCAATCTCCAATTCTATCTCCCGCGCTGCCGTCCAGCAGCGGTAGAGACGCATTTCTTTGCGCATTGACTCCTGCTGGTATACAATTTAAAGCACATATACAGTATAGTGTCGCGAGAGCTAAGAGCTTACATCCAATATATTGCAAATGCATCATCCCGATCGTCCTCAGCATTCTTGAAGTCCGGATGCTCCATCCACATGCTTGGATCCGCTTCCTGCGTGCACATATACTCTTAATCTATAATATATATAATAATGAATATAAATTTGGAAACCATTGCTGTGGAGTTGCCTTGTCGAGAACCAACATGTCGACCTGTGTATCGCTGTACTTCGCCTTGAGGTCCTGAGTGCAGTACATAGTCGTAGTCGTAGTAGTAGTAGTAGTAGTAGTAGTAGTAGTAGTAGCAGTAGTAGTAGTAGTAGTAGTAGTAGTAGTAGTAGTAGTAGTAGTAGTAGTAGTAGTCGTAGTAGTATAAAACCCTTAGCCCTCAACTCTAAACCCTAAGCCCAACTAAGCCCTAAACCCCTAACCTTAAAGCCGTGAACCCTAAAACCCCTAAACCCTAGTTGGGGGAAACACTAAACCCTAAACCCCTTACAGAACCCTCTAAACCCAATTAAAGAAGGAACTCTTAATGGACACCATATACTATATGTATACTACTATATGTACTACTACGACGACGAGTTCTACAAATATTCTACTACTACCCCCACTACTACTAGAGCACACGATGCCGACAACATTGCGATGTCAAGATCTAGAATCCTTCTTGGTCAGCCACTCGTGCACGCCTTCTCGGCTGACTGTCTTCGACCATTTGTGCAGGGCCACCACCCTCGAGGAGCCCCAGCTTTCATTGCTGATGACGAACTCTTTAAAGAGGTCTGCAATGCGCTTCGCATCTCAGTGGCCACATACATACATACATATATTATTTGATTCGATTCTGAGGCTTTGGGTTCTAATGGATCGATTAATATATGGATAACGTCACTGACCCCTTAAGTGCAACTAGATTAATTAGTTGAGCAAGAACCTAATCGATATCTCAGGTAATTGCATCGGGCGACCCTTCTTGCCCTCGTGGGCCTTGCGCCACTCTGCAAGCACTGCCGGCGGGCAGGCAGCACCTGCACATCCCATAAATTAATGTTATTAATAAAGAATATATTACATGTACTTATTATTTTATAAACTATAATATATATATATACATATATACATATAGTATAATATAATTTTAATATCATATAAATAATATGATATAATAATAATATGATATATATATATATATATGGTATCCCCCCCATGGATCTACCTTTTTCGTGTGTTTGTGAGCCACATCACACGAAAATGGAAGATCCTTGAGGGGAGGGCCTACCCGATGGACCGTTTTGTGGCTGGGTGAACTCCACCCTGGCCCGATTGAGTTCAATCGGGCCGATTGAATTCAGTCGCCCCCCCCCCCCGATTGAGTTCAATCGGGGCCGATTGAGTTGAATCGGGCGCCGGATTGAAGATTGAAGATTCCCTCGAAAACTTTGCCGGGGAATCTTCAATCTTCAATCTTCAATCCGGCCCCCGATTGAGTTCAATCGGGGCCGATTGAGTTGAATCGTTCGCCGGATTGAAGATTGAAGATTGAAGATTCCCTCGAAAACTTTTGCCGGGGAATCTTCAATCTTCAATCCGGCCCGCGATTGAGTTCAATCGGGGCCGATTGAGTTGAATCAGGGCCGCTTGACTGCAATCGCGCTTCGTCCCAAGTGGGCGGGGTTTCAGGTTCAGGGTTGAGGAAATTGAATTTGATGTGCCGAACGTGTTTACCAGGATCTCGAGTGCTGCGTGTTGGTGAGCGGTTTTTCAAAATGATGGCAAGCGTTTTTTTTGGTCTGTGAATATTGGTGAAATCACCAACGGGTATTCAACAGGATTCATAAAGGTATAAAGGGTTTCTATAATCTATGGGTATCTATATGAAAAATTTAAGATGTAAAGGAGGAGTATCGTGTAAGGTGTTCTATATGCTCTTGTTTTTGATTTCTTCATTGGGCACATAGCAGGTACAGCGCAGAGCATTCTGCTCCTGATTATCCTGCCATTAATCCGTTATCTAGAAAGTACTCTACAAGGCATTCTATGGTGCATTCTACGGGTATGTTATAGAATATCCGTTAGGTTTTCTTTAGGACTTCCTATGGGGTACTCAGAGGGTATCATAGATATTGTGTATTCTGTAAGCTAGTCGGTAGGGAAATGCAGATGATATTGTACAAGGCCTATAAAAGGCCAAGTATGTAACGTTGTTTCGGGCTTTCTATCGGGTACTCCATAACGCATTGTATAAGGGATTGTACAAGGCATCAACATGAACGTAAAGATTATCTTACAGAACGTGTTCTATAACGTAATGTATAGGCTATACGGCTATAAGATACTCAAGAAGATATCTATGAGGTATATAGGGGATATTCTATAACGTCTTACCTAGGGTCACCTGTACGAAATTCTTTGGGGTTTGTGGTATTCTTTAGGTTATTCTCTTCGACTCCTGGATCACTCCTAGAAACCCCTTACCCAATATTATTAGGGGCCAAAAGTTGAAAAGTTTGGTTTTGAGCCACTAAATGTTATATGGGTTCATGGTATATATACTGTATACAACGACTGTCATGTATAGGGCCATATGGGCATCCTGTAAGGTCTTCTATAGAGTATTCCAGACGGTCTTCCATGAGGCGCACGACATATAGAGGGTAGTATGTGTTCCATAAGGTATTTTGTAGGGTATTCTATGTCGTATTTTGTAAGGTATTCTAGATATTCAAAAGATATACGGACTGTGACTGAAAGTATATGATAAGGTATTCTCGAGGCTCTAGGGTATTCATTAAGGCATGAAGGTATTCTATATCAGTGCATTCCATATGAAAGGCTTTACGATACATAGAGAAAGTATTCCAAAGGACATCCTGCAAGATATTCTATATAGTGTCTTGTATGGAGTGTCCTCTAGGGTATGTGTAATATAATGCGTGCGGGGTGTATCCTATATAGGTGGTCTTGGAGACGGTATGCGACAGGATGTTCGGGTGGATTTCTATAAGATATAAAGGTTATGTGAGTGGAATTTTGCAAAGTATTCTTACATGTAATTTAAAGGGTACTATATTGGTGAAACACAAGGTATTGAACCCTGGAAATATCGATGGATTTCGTGTTCGCGGATATTATCTATAATCCCGATGCGTCCTATATATGGGACGTGTAGAAATAGGGTCCTCTTTTCATATCTATACTTGTCGTGATACGGGATGACATATCTTTGCTCTCCTGTTGCGTCTTACCTTCACAGCCCATACTGCTGCATGTAAAAACCTATACACACACAGAACATGCATGCAACCTTGCGTTCTTTTGCAACACGAGAAGAAGCCGTACGCGAATGTATGTCGCTTGGAAAAGCTCAGTGTGTATATGAAGGAAATGCAGAATTTAGGATCTGCGAAATCTTTGATCGAGTCGAAGCGTATTTAGTGAAGGACTTATAAAGAGAAGGGAATACGTTATAGAATATCAACTATTTCCCATCCGGCTCTCAAACACACGAAAAAGGTAGATCCTTGAGGGGGGGGATAGCATATATATATATATATACTTATTACTTCGGGGAAGGGAGTTTGAGGATTGCCTTCGAAACTGCGCAAGTACCGCATGTAGACGACCCGGCGAGTGGAGTCCTGTTTATAATTGAGATTTCAGTTTTGGTTTGGGGTCAGCACACTCATCACATGCAGTAGGGAGGAGGGTTTAGCGGAACAGTTCGTGGGATTGCTCTGGCCATATCCGGTTTAGCATAGGGTGGTTTCAGTGCTACCTTCGGGGTGGCTTCAGGGTGGTATCTATATCTACAGTATTACACGTTACTTAATTATAGCAACAAGGCTTTAGGGTGATAGGGGTTTTAATTCCCTTTAAAGAACAAAGAACTATTGAACCCAGTCCTTGACTTCCTCTTCGGTGTACTTTGCCATCTGAAGGGCATGTTCGAGGGCCGTGGGCTTTTCGCTGGGCTCTGGAGCGGGATTCTGCACTACAAGGGCATTGCTATCGGTCATCAACACATCCTCCTGGCTGCCTGCTGCTCTTGCTGGGGCTGCTGGGGCTTGCTTCATCTGTTCATCGCCCTTTGTGCCTGCTGTGCTCGCTGGGACTGCTGGGGCTGCTGGGGCTTGCGTCATCTGTTCATCGCGCTTTGTGCCTGCTGTGGTTTCTGGGGCTGCCGGGGCTCGCTTATTGCTGCTGCCAGCTGCAGTTTCCAGCATCGAAGCCAAAGCCTCGAAATCTGGCGTGTTTGCCCTAGACAAGATAGCCTGGCGTGTCAAATCCGTGCTCATATCTGCTTCAGAGAGGGAGCGCTTGAAAAGCTGGAGCTGCTCGATCATCTGTGCCACACGGTCAACATCCACATCCATGGGTACCGGTTGAAGGTTTTGAGGGTTCTGCTGCAAAGCCACAGGCGCTGCCGGGCTAGGGCCACCTGCACCTGGAACGGGATTCTGAGTCGGCACCTGCAGGGTTTGCTGCTCAGCTGCTGCTGGCACTGCGTGGCTAGGGGCACCTGGCACGGAATTCTGAGTCGGCACACCTGGCACGGGATTCTGAGGCACTTTAGGGGCACCTGGCACGGGATTCTGAGTCAGCACTTGCGGGGCACTTGCTGCACCTGCCACGGGATTCTGAGTCGGCACCTGTGGGGCTAGGGGCACCTGGAACGGCACCTGCCACGGGATTCTGAGTCGGCACCTGTGGGCTAGGGGCACCTGGCACAGGATTCTGAGTCGGCAAAAGCAGGGTCTGCTGCCCGGGGCACCTGCCACTGGATTCTGAATCGGCACTTGCGGGGTCTGCCCCGGCACGGGATTCTGCATCACTGCTGCGGGCACTGCACATGGGACACCTGCTTGCACAGAATTCTGCACGAACACTTGCGGGGTCTGCTGCACTGGTACTGCTTGCTCGCTTTCAGGCAGTGGGTTCTGCTTTTCATAACGTC